ATTTGACAAGGAAATTTTAGCTTGTTTTATGGATAGTTTAGGAACAAACTAGAAGAGTCAAAGAAAATATCTGAAATATCACCCCTACTGATTAATCATTATAGAACTCCCACATGGTGGTTTGGGAAAAAGAACAGTTAAAAGTCAGACAACACCAGTCACTAATTATAGCCAATGTTAGCGATGAAATTCTTTGATGACCTCATGTGGAACATATTTGGATATAAGGTACAGTTTTTGGATTATGATGCCAACCTGAGACTCACTCAAATAAACCTGTGAAATAGGTAAACATAATTTGGAATGTTTTAATCCATATTTTACATTTATATAGCTTATCAGTGTATCTTTATGCAATAACCAATTAGAAGCCAGGATGAATGTAGTTTATATCATATTTTATAAGGTAGGAAAAGATTCAGTACAATGTACATCTGAAGAAAACTTGAGATCGGAGAGTTCAAGATGTATGCTCTGCTCAGAAAAAAAAAAAAAAAAAAAAAACAGAGAGAGCATTTTCACTTATACTTTATATTCAGATGCTAATGCTTATAAACATTTTGGATCCAGGTATCCAAAACTGACTTCCCTTTTCTGCAGAATAAATGTATTTTCAATAGAATAAATTGCTATTAACTTCTAAAAGTAATATCCTTTCCATTTTCTCCAAATTGAAGTAATTTTTAAATGGAAAAATTAGAGAATATATTCTTTATGTCAAATTCATTGAACAGTTGACCACATTTTCCCTCCATTCTAAAACTACCAACTTAATTTTTTTGAATTACTTCTGGAAGAAAGCATTGGCATGTCTCTTTAACATTTGCAAAACTTCCTTCTTAGATCATTCAACAATTTTTGACAGAATACCTACTATTTACAACAAACACTATAAAATTAATAAACAAAAATAACTAAAACAATGTCAATAAGATTATTTCAATGTAAATCAAAGTCTTACTAGTTCCTGAACAAAAACTTTTTATAAATTGGAGATGTTTACATTTGTATGTACTCTAACATGTAAAATATAGATCTATTTATTTAAAAAAGTTCTAGGAAATATGTAAATATATGATGTATGTATAGCAATATCAATATAAGTTCTGATTCATTTACCCACTAATGCTGGAAAATTATTTTTAAAAACTTACAAATTTGCAGTTTACCTGGAGAATAAGTACTGATAGTATTTTTTTTTTAAACTACTACTTGAAGAGAAAAATTAGAACACGTTTTAAACTTAAAAACATTTACCTGGAAGACTTATGAAAGGCATTTTGAAGTAGAAATTTCACTTCATCAACAAAAACTTTTTGAAATAAAAGTTAAAAAAAAAACTTTTGAAATGCAAGTTTAAAAAATGAATTTTTTTAAATAAAGATAGTGCTGAAAACAATTTTTTCACAGTTTGCACTATCCCACAAGATGTTTTGCTTTGCAAAAGAATACAAACATATATGTCATGTATTTAGCTGAAAATAGAAAGGACAGTAGTAGTTTGAGAGAATGGATGTCCAAAAAATGAAAGAGAAGGTATTCAATGACTTCTGAAACAACTTGCTTCAAGATATTTCTAAGAAGCTTTTTTTTTTTTTTTCATATTCTCTCTCAGAGTTTATGAGATCAGAAGTTATGTTTATTAAATTACTAAAGATAAACACATTTGATTTCAAGGTTGAAGAATTAGAGACAATCTTTTAGAGTACAAATACAGTAATTATCTAATCGTGATAACTATAAATTAGATTTGCACCTTGAGAGTGTTGGGTGACTTGGGATACTGAAAATACTTCTATCAGATGAATCTCTCTAGACACACTGCCTCAGTAAAGCATGTTTTCCATGAGCTGTTTTCCATGTTCCAAAAAGCATGTTTTCCATGTTTCCCTCTGTGTCTCAGAGGGAACGTGAATCTGAAGTTGACTGTACTTTAATAGGCAGGTGGGTTTTTGAATGGGTTATATGAACAGCAGTGTCTTATGTTCCTAATTAAGAAAATGTGGATAATAAAGTTCCTTATGGGGCTGGTATGTAACTATTAGGCTAAATTTGTTATGTTTATTGATAATACCATCTCATTAAAACCAAATACTACTTTGGTATAATATTTATATTTATCTTCAAGGAAACCAAGACCAGGAAGCTGAATAACCCAACCACAGTCAAAAGACAGCTCAAGGTAGAGTACAAAACCATGTTTTTCAAACTTATCTTCAGAAGCAATATGCTATCTACATGAATACAATTCACAAAAGAATATTTATCTATTCAAGAGAGGTATATTTGCCTCCTGCCTTCCATCACCTAGATATTTGAATGAATAGAATAGTTATATTTAGCAGAGGTATAATGAAGATATTCCTTCACACACACTTTAAAAGTATGAATTTCCATTGACTAGAACTCAGTTAAAATCAGAGAAAACATACCTATCTTGCTTCAGATGGCGACAGCAAATCTACTTGAGGTCTACAAACTTAGAATTGATCTTTTTGACCCTAACAGAAAAAGTTGAAGGTTTCCCCACAGACATATAAGAGGACACATAATAAGAATTCACTAAAGGCAATTTCTTTGAAAATGTCAATGTAATTTACTATAGAAAAACACCCAGTGAAACCATTTGTGTGGAATAAGATGAACAGCTTTTATTAATGCTAATTGAAATTCTCATATCCACACACACCATGCATAAAATTTACTTCTACACTTATTCTTTCCACCTCTAAACTGCAATAAGTCCACACTCCAAAGTACTAGCTTTTTAATTTGAGCACTCAAGGATGAAAATTGATACTTTTTCTTACAATTATATTTGCAAATTTAATATAGGTGAAATTCACTCTGCAAAGTGGACACGATATTCATTGTCATTTAAAAAGAGTGAAAACAATCCTCTGACAAATTAGGAATTTGTTTCAAAAGGTGAACTGTACTATTTCTCAATTCTTGCCACTTTAATAATTTCCTTTTAACAAACACTAGTACATGTGAGCAAGATGGTCCATATTTTAACTCCCATAAAAAATATAATGAGAAGCATGTTTTCTTATGGCCAAAATTACAAGAGTTTATCACATATATGTATAAACACACACACATCAATTTATTAATATATATTAGCAGTATTTTTCGGCTAGTCCCTAAATACATAGGATGATGCTATCACCTTATTCTTTAAGAATAACTTATAAAACAAATCTAAGAATTTGCTTCAGTCAGTGGTCAGTTTATCAAATCAAAACTTGAAGTGCTAATCAATTTTAACTTATTAAGTAAATGAATATATAATCTTTTTAATAAAAATATGTTGTTGCCCTTTATTCACTAATTAATTCCCACAATTATGAGTTATTATTTGTTTGGAGGCAATTTGAAAGCATTTCATATTCTTATTAAAAGTCAGAAAAGGATAAGAACCACTCATAAGCAGAGTTTTCACTGACAAAATATACACTTCGATTTATGAATGTCAATGCTATGAAAGAACTGTCTTCCCGAATATTTCACATGACGGATTCTTGCTTAGGCTTTCAATTGAAAAGTGTGTTAACATTGAAAAACCTTACCTGTACTGAGTTCACTCACATTTTGCACTTGGTCAGATAAATTTTGCAGACTGAGTAAGGAAAAGTTGTTTTTACTACTATTGCATATTTACATTTCTCCTTCCTTAAAATGCAATTCAATATATCAACATGGTTGGGCATGGAAAGAATTGTTGTCACTCTAATTGAGGCCTCTCAGGGATTAGAGAAAATATCAATTTGTTATATTGATATTCGAATTGTTATATTGAATAACAAATATAATTTGTTATTCTAGCAGAATGAGAAGTAGAAAGGTGTTCATTCATTCACAATTACTAATCTTTTCTTTATACATGCCATATATTACACTAGTATCTAAGAAAATAAAAGTAATGGCCAGATAAAAACATAATAAAAGGAAGGGTAAGGCAAGGTCATTGGCTATATGGAACTTAGAATCTACTTGTATAAGAAGGAAGATATGTGTGTGTGTGTGTGTGTGTGTGTGTGTGTATAAAAACTAAATTAAGAAACATAATGGCATGTTAACTAAAGCACGGTAAAAACAATGCATCAAATACATATTAACAGTGAATGAACAACAATAATTTAAACTGTGGATTGCTATATTACTATCAAAAAAACACCCTATATCTTTGTTTTCTATAGTATATCACTATGAAAAACAATATAATTGTTTGTTAAAATAACGTTTAAACTAATCCTGGTCAGCTGTGTGAATAAAACTTTTAAAAAAATGAAGTAATTTATGGAAGTCTTTAAACAAGTATAAAATGTATATCCTAAAGGGGAAAATTGCTTTTAAATAACAGAAATTAAATATTATCATATGTTTACACAAAGCAGTGCTTTGCATTGTTTCTTATAAAATTGAGATCTATATTTTTCTGTATATGCCAGCTCTGAACACTTTTCTGTATATATCAGTTAGGTACACTCAGACATAGGCAGACTCAAATTGACAATATCTCCCATAGGAATGGCCTGATATGATGCTCAATGAGAGGTGAATGTACTGGTATATGGATCCTGAACCATTATACCAAGCTAACCCTTTGATATTTTCCATTGGAGAGTACATTTGAGGGCATGTCACAACCAATTAGGACAGCATTCTATTTTAGCAAAGTTCTGTGTACTTCACTATACAAAGAACTAACCAGCTTATAATGAAAATGCCCTTCAAAGAAAGAGTAAAAATTGGAGATTAGTGGCAGAAAGGAGAAAAAAGTCAGTTTCTTATACATTTTTACAGATGGAAGTGATTAAAAGGTATATTCTTAAGATGAAAAGATAAACAATTTTTAAGTACCCAGGCCAGAAGGAAGATGACAACAAAATCTGATCAAAATGTATAGTAACATTCTGAGAAAAAACTGTAAAGTAACATTTTGAAAAAAAAAACTAGCAACATATTCCCCCTGAATAGTTCAAAAGTCAACTTACCTGATCTGCTATCCAGTGGTCCAAAATCCAAAGAATATTTCACGACATGATAATTATTCCATACATAAAGAAGGTTGTCCCTGGGGTTGTAATCCACAGCTGCTATGTACTGGTATGAATTAGGAAAGGGTACATCCACCAAACTATCCTTACTTTGATCGGTGTTGTAAATGTAGTCAATCTTATTCCCTGTGGCCTCATTATCATCATCTTCATATACAGATTTGACCACATACAGAATCCCACAAATCATAAATGCGTTGGAAGCTGACCTTTTATCATATGCAGTATCCCATGTCCCTTCAATCCGTAAGGTGTAAGGGTTCAATTGGCTAATGACAATTTTACCATTGTTTTGTTCTGTTGCATAGATTACCCAAAGCCCGTTCTCATCCACTGCCAGATCTATGTCAGATTTGCCTCCCCATCGGTAAGGGGAGGTATCATGGTAGTTGGCATTTGCAATGATGGCCTCTCCACTCTTTATTCTAGTCCGCAAGTCAAACTTTACGATGTTTCTGGTGCGCTCTTTGTTGAAGAACAGAGCTCCATCATACACGACAAATCCTGTGCCATCTACCCTGTGAGGGAGCTTGTAGGTCGTAGTTGGCCTTCCAGCAATGAAGTCATCCTTTGATGAGTATTCAGTCAGGGTATCAGTTCTATAGGGAGTCCAAGGCATATAATAAATTTTGTCAGAAGCCTGCAGAGGGTCTTTGCACCATGCCCCAGATTGGTGGTCGGATTCAAACAAATGTTCACTCTGGTACACTCCTCTTAGCAGTCCAGGACAAAGAAAAACTGTTGGAAGGGAAAGAGTTAAAATAATAAATATATTAATTTAAATATTTTTCATATATTCTAATTTTTCACCACAGAGTGCAGCTCTAACAAGGAATACCCACCAACAACTATTTTTTTTTTTTTTGCTGTATTCTTCTGAGAACACAAAGTATCTTCCACATTAACTTTGACTTCATCGCTAATATAATTTGGCTTTTTTTTTTACTAGATGTGCATTCCTTTGGTCTTTACCTTTAATATGTTTGGACATATATAAATATATATATATATATATTTAAAAATGTGAGTTATGTCTGTCTATGTATTCTATAGACATGTAACAGACACATGTATACATAATGTTTCTATGTATCTTATTTAGAAATTTAAAAGTTTTCACTCTGATATTAACTATTTGACAGTTATCATTAAGAAACAAACAGAAATTTAATAATTAAAAAAATAAAAGCCCTGTAATAATAGGCCACTGAAACTTCAAGCAAAGAAAAAGGTCTGAAAGCTGCTATAGCACACACAGAGCATGCAACCCACGCAATTAAAAATGAATGATGGATGGACACAGGAAGGAAAAGGAGAAAGGAAGAAAAAGAATAAGAAAGAAGAAATAAAGAAAGAAGAAAAGGTGAAAGGTTACAGAGAAGAACCCAAGATCTAGATTTTAATCAGTTAAAATGTCCTGTTAAATACAGTAGTATTGGAACTTAAAAAAAAATGTACCTTTTTACTGTTACATGAGAAGAACATTAAAAAACAAGACTACTTGCTATAATATTTTGCTGCTCACACTTCAGACTGAAAATGGGTAGGAATTATCTGATTCACTTGATTTTTAGTATGATTCAGTAGCACACCATGTAAATGATGGTAAGAAAGCTTGGCTGATTCATCTCTAATGACTGGGCTATAAAGCAATGTTTCCCAAAGAATAGTCCTTGAGGCATATGTTTCAAGTGATATAGCTAGGTATTATATAGGGGGAAAAAGGTAACCTTAGCCACATGTGTTTAAAAAATAGAATATTAAATAGAATTGTGGCAAAGCATCCAACAGCTTACATACATGACTAGGTCTCCAAGACAAATAGATTGAGAGTGAGTCAATTTCACAAGCTAATTTGACACAGACCCTACTACAGAGCCTCTTTGGAGCATAGTTATCTGCTGAACCAGCCATGGGAAACACTGCTCTAATATTTTGGCAAAGCAAACACATTGAAAAATAATCATGCACTCCACTAATATATCTGAAATTATTAGAAGTTTATTTGGGTGGAAAAATTAGGAAGTTATTGTAAGGATTTTGGATGTTGATCAATATTTTAATGACTAAAATATTACTTTTTTGATATTGGTGATTAACTCTTTAACAGAAACTAAAATCCTAGATCCAACAGAAAACAATCTAGATGAAACTCAACTAGGAGTTGAAGTTAATAAAAAGGGAAATACATCATAAAAATGCCCAAAGTTTCACTGTTTCAGAAATGAAAAGCTTTGGGGAGAAGTTGACTACCAAATTCTTCCATATCAAGGAGAGTGGGCTATTACCAATTTATACTCAGTAATATTTATGATTAGATGAATTTGTCAGGATTCTAAGATCATTGTTATAAGGGACAGCTAGACATTGTCAAAACTGTATATAAACTTTTTGCTAATTAATAACCAGCCCTTGGTTACTAATTTAATTCAGGTATTTCAGAAAACCATCTCCCCTTTTTTCCCAGTAGGCAAAAAATTAAAATAATAGGGGAAACCACACCAAAGTTAAGGAAAATTATCTAGTTATAGAAATAAAAGCAAATCTAAAGCAATCACTATCCATTACCACATACAGGATTTCTATGCAAAGAAGAATAAAATACATGACTAAAAGTTTTATACTATTAAGTTGTCTTAGGAAAAAAAAGGATCAAACTAGCACTGGTCAGCACAACAGATTACAGTGAAGTTGAGCAGCAGAAGTAGTAAATAAATTTTCATAAAATAAATAAGAATTAATAACAAAATTATTTTAACTAGATGTTAAACTGTTAAATAACTTAGCCTAAAAATAGTATATAATTTAGGAAAGGTATTTAATTACCTTTTTGTTCCACTTCTATTGGAGAGAGAGAAGTAAAGAGAGAAAGGAGAAAAGAGAATAGATTAATGGTACGGTATTGGCCAAGCACTTTTTATTCACCTCTTCCAAACTGAAAGCAAATAATTTATTTCACTCATACTTGCTTTATTTAACATTATGTTTTAAAAAACTCATTCCTCTAGTAATATTTTTCAGGCAATAATATTATAAGTTTACAAACACAGTATAAACTTGGAAAAATAAAGCAAACCTTAATTAAGCTAAGATTGATAAATATACCATTCTAAACTATAGACATAGAAAATACAATTTTCATAATAATAGCACCAATATATCCATTTGAAAGGCAGATAGGTAAATTATATTTAAAAAGCTTTCAAATAGTTTGGGTAGTCTCATTTATAAAATATTATAGTATATACCACTGTTAAAAATAATTGTCTTGCTTTTACCCATCTCAAGAATTGATATCTTTAGAAGAAACTTCAACTCATTTTCAAAGGTCTGAGATTTTCTGTAGCTTGTCAGTCCTATGAGAAATGTGCATCATGAGGCTACCTGTTAGTGGGCATACTCTCACCCAGAAAAAATGGATCTAGACCAATTACTGAAGCAACTTCTCTCCCTCCCACTTATCAATATTTTAAATTATTGTGCAAAAATGCTGTCATTGAGAAAAATCGGTTATCAGAATATTAATAGAACTAATTATATGCTGTGACCTTTTCTCAAATTCTTTAGCTAAGTCTTTTATAAACTTTTGTAAGAGTAATTTGAGATCCTTGAACATGCATAGCTATGTATTTCTCAATTTCAATTCAATTATTATTTTTCAGATCCTAATCAATACGAGTCAGGAGAATTTGGGGCAAGCTACATAAGATATTCAGAAAATCAGTAAGCGACATCTTCTCTATTTTATAAATATTTATCTCATGACACACAATTTTCCTAAATCACAAGAATAAAAAGGAACAGTCAGAGAAAAGGTATTTTCCTAACAAACTCAAAAAACACAGATTGCAAATTATCTGAATCTGAGATAATTTCAGTGGAAGGAATGGAATGAAATATACATAATAAATAGATTTAAGACTCTAGAAAAGTTTTGAAACAAGGGAGAGATATTGTTTTGGGAAATTACATTCGGGTGTGATTTTTCTGCTCTCACCTAAGCTCATGTCTTTAATTACTGTCAAAATCACACTCATTTCTCTCCATTGACTTTTTGAAACCCCAATATAAAATGTGTTAGAAGAACGAACTGGCATATATTAAAAGTTATGCTTAGAAAGTTGAAAATGTCACTATCATTTTTAGATTCCTTATTGCACTAATTTACAAATTTTATTTTTACAGTTTTGCTTGGTCTTTCAAAAACTCAATTATACTTTTATAATTTATCACTATTCTCAATCTTTATTCAGTAACTGAGTTTTTACCAAAGCATATGTCTCATTACAGGTCAGTTAAAAACTTTATCTAAGAAGTAATTTCATACCATATTTAAAATGCTAACAAACCTGAGTCAAAATTGATGACTGAAAATACATAATTAAGTAGCTTAAAATTATTTAATCAATAGTCTTAGAATTTTGGAATTGGGAACTTTACAGTGATAGCTGATGTTGGAAGTGGGAAGTCACACTAAAGTGGGCATTTTTCAATGACTTGCCCACTAGGGAATTTCTAGGACTGATTTTGTTCTTTGAAATAGCTCTAAATATATATACTTTGAGAATTATATGTTGAGGCATTCAATTTCTAGAACACAACTATACACTCAACAACACTAATCCTATTTCACAAAAAACTCTTAGGCAATCTTTAAAGGCAAATGTCCTATCTTCTTGGCTAATGACACTTTTTTCTTCAACAAATACTTACTGAGGAAGATGGGACGTGGTAAAAAGTATATGATATTTATTACTGTAAATATTATCTTACATTTTTCAAAGACATTTTTATATCTCAAGCTACATTTACTTATTTTTTCTCAATAATCATTAGTAAAATTTTGCTTCCAATACTCTATTTTCAGAAAAATTGTTATAAGCTATAGCATAAGTAAAGTTTGCCTCTGTTACTTGCTGGTAACTCAAAATTAGGACCAGGCAGTTCTACTTTGGAGAAAATTATTATGGTCTTGCCTACATCATGACTGACCATGGCTCATTGGTCATTTATTTGCTATTTCAAGACTGAAGTAAAACAATCCTACAGTTGAGACAAACACACACATTTCCATACAAAAAAACTGGCAAGGCAAACAATTTGTTATTTAAAAGCTTAGCAATATTTAGCATCAACCAACCCTTGTCTAATTCTAGAAGTTTCTCTTCCTTGAAAACAACTTGTCAGGATACAAGAAATGTCATGTGTACTCTAAAACCTAAAACCTCACCTGTGATTGGCACATAAAAACCCAGTAAACAGTTACTGTAATAATACATAATCCAAATGAAGGTGATTGTGTTTGTAGATATTTTAAGCACATAATCAAAAAGGGAAAGTGAACAACAGAATCTATGTTTACTATATATAACCATATGTGAAATGCATTATCTGCTTAATGTCTGGCTATTTTCATGGATGGGGGAAAGTAAAATTTATGAGCAATTTGTATCTCCAAGTCATTAAATGTAAAACTTAAGGAAAAAAAAAGAAAAGGTGAAAAAGCATATAGACGGTCTTGAGGGTTATATTGTCAAGAAAAAAATGTTGCTATAAAACAGCCTGTGATCATCTAAAAGCATAGGCTGAGAATACTCCCTTCTCTTCTCTGTAATGAGATCATAAATAAATGAATTGCATGATGACATCAGTGCTAGAACTTCTTTAGGACCTCCTGTTTTTAGTCTTGTCCAATATCCTGAATTCTGACATTATAACTGTCATTGTTCATTTCCAAACCTCTTTGAGCCAGTTTATCTTCTTTTCTCTCTTCACTTTTAATCCCTGAACTATTTTTATTGTCCATTCAACCTCTATAAATACGTTTATATATTTCCTTAAAGTGATTTTACTGTTGTTCTTTGTCAAACGTAATGTCATAAGCTATATCCTGTGGTTAGAGTAAATGGCAAATTCAAACTAAGGGTAATTTTATTCTGTATAAAAGGAAGAATCAGGAAAAAAGAGATTAGTAAAAGTTCCCTTCATTCCCCAAGAGTATATAAAAGAGATATAATATATGTTATTGTTTAGAAAAACAAGATGTTATTAGTTGTACCCATATCTGCACCATATGCAATACTTTTGAATAGATTCTTTAATTAGAAAAGGTATGGATGAGAGAGCATATGCATGGATTGCCAAGCTTTTTAAAATTGCATTGCAAATTACAGAGAAATAAAATTGTTGCATGCCAAAAATTGGTAGTACCATAACTAAGAACTATGAAATTGTATCTAATTCTAATGCAGATTTAATTTTCTTTTCTTTTAAACTGTAAGCCAGATAACACATTTCCTTTCCATAATTTAAATGTTTCAAATAAGCAGCATGTTATAATCCAATGATGCCTCTAAATTTCTATGATATATAAATAAAAAAGATACTTAGGGGGAACATAAGATGGTTATAGAATAGTGAATAATTTATAAACAAACATTTTCATTGAAATGTAGTAGTACTTTAAACAGAATTATTTTCTTGGTTACATTTGGCTTATAATACATTTGGGTACTCTTATCACAGGCTAGCTGGGCAGTTAGGAATATGGCAGAAAAGCAATTTAAGTTAGTAGTAATAAAAATATCTTGCATGAAAATTTGCTGGTACATTATCCAGAAAGTCATCTATAAGTGGACAATCAAAAGTTCATAATAATACTTGGCATTTTATAAAGCACTTTATAATTTAACAAAATATTTTCACAAGAATCACTTGCTTTAATTCTTTAAGCAACACTGTAATAAGTTATGCATTGTTTCCATAAGAGATGAGTCAATTGAAACTCAAAAGGTTAAAGGAGCTGAATGAGATCAAGAATGGTAGGTACCAGAGGTCCATCATTTGCATAATATCACACACTAGCTCTCAATTTGTAAACTCAGTGAAACTGTTCTTGCTTGCCATTTCCTTTCTGTCACCAAATTCATGTATGAGCACACTTTAAAGCTGCTAAATAGCATAAGTGGAATTTCTGTGAAGGCAGGCACCATGCCTATTTTAGAATATTCATTTTGCATGTATAATATGACACACAATGCACTACAGTTTTGCATGTAATACTAACTGAACATCTCAAAGCAAACTTATGAGGTAGATGTTCCTATGATCTGAATTCTGGTTAATAAGTGGGAATGCTAGATTTCAACTCTAAATTTTGATTGTATTCATTATTGCATCTCTAGCATCCAGCACAAAGGAAAAACTCAATTATTGTTTCTTATTCTGCCATGCATTGATGAACTGCAGTATGGTATTTTTAAAGAAAAGGATTCGATATATTCCTTTTCAGTATTATCACCTCCTGAGATTAGCTAGATGAAAAACATCTTGCCAAAGATGAAATAATAAGGGGAAAAAGGGTTGCTCATTTCTTAGCTAAGGAAACAAAACTTTCTTATCACCAGAAACAAACCTGTGCTTAATACCTCATGTCCCATTAATTCTTATAATGAAATAGAGAAAATTATCTTTTCCATTTCACGTAACCAAGAAAATAAAGAAGCACTTCAGTAAATAAAATAAAAAGGTTTGTGAAGTTAATTAGTTTTTTTTATATACTGCATGTTGAATATTCTGATGAACATCTGTCTCTTTCAATAAATAAAGTACTAATCCTTTATTTAATGAATGATGGGGTAATCTCTGCAGCTCAGCTTCTAAATTTATTTTCAAATAATACCCGTGTATCATGAAAAAAAAGTGCCACTCAAGCACCTTGTATAACAATGGCTTTATATAAAATTATCAGGATGAATTTCATGCTGGAGTTTGTAGACTGAAAATGTCAATAATTAATAAGATGCTTTCGATAGTCACATTCTAATATAAACACTTAAATA